TTTTTTTTTGTCTTTTTCTTTTTTTTTCTTTCTTTCTCTTTTTTTTTCTTGTTGTATCCCTTTTCTTTTTTTCTTATCATTCATAGCAAATATCATTACAAAAAAAAAAAAGAAAGAAAAGAAAAAGAATTGTATTGTTATTATTTAATGTCATATGAATGCAATCATAAAATTGATATTGATTGCTACACAAACAAACAAAAAAAAAAAAAAATTATTTGAATTTAAAAAAATGAAAAAAGGAAACTGATTGGTTATTATATTCATCAATTCTTCTTTTTTTCTTATTCAAGCAATTTTAATTGTTATACATGTAGTAGGTATTGATGAGTGGAAGGATTGTCAAATAATGATGATTAGATTTACTAGATTAATAATCGAATTTTACTGGTGTGAAACGAAAATGAAAAGGAAAGGCATTGACAGGTAAATTCAGTAACTAGATTTCAAGTTTTTTTTTTTTAAAAAAAATTAAATGGATTGTAACAAAACGTTTTGTTAGCGTGTAATATTAATATGATGACACCATTTTCGTTTTTGTTTTTGACGATTTCATTCATTTCTTTCCATCATTCATTGGAATTTTTCTTTTTTTTTTTATGAATTCTAACTTTTCGCTCAAAGTGATTGTCCTTTTTTTCTAACTTTCTATTTTTTTTTTTGCTTCGATTATTAAAACAGACCCAAATGGATATTTTGTTTGTGTCAACAAATTTCATTTTGTTTTTTTTCTTTTTTTTTTTTAGAACGCTGATAAAAAAGGAGCAAAAAACGAAAAGAACATATTGTAATAAATTACTTCTTTGTGTTTATTTTTGTCATTAATAAGAAAAAAAAATTGTTATCTAATATTATAATTAAAGTCAATAAAATTTTTCCACAAATTATTCATTTATTTTTATTACAAAATGAAAAAGGAAGTTAGGAAATATATAGTTATCGTAATCTGTTACCGATAAAATTCAAATTAATAAAAAGTATGCTGTAATTGTGAATTTTTCTTTCATTTGCATTTTAAAAAAGAAAAAGAAACAGAAATGAGAAAAAATTATACCATTGGTAATTATCATACATAGTTAAATATACTGTCATCAAAATTTTATTTTTATCAAATTTTTTGTAGGATAAACAAAAAACAAAAGATTTACGGATGCCTCATATATCTATCATTTTCATGCTTCAGAAATTTAATTAAAACCTGATTTTTGACACAATTTTTTTGTTTCTTTTATCTTTCCACATGTTTCTTTTTTTTTTTTTTAATAATATGATCTGTAATGAACAAAATATTTGTATAACATTTATCGTAAAAATAGTAATAATAATAATAATAATAATATTAGCAATTTATGATGATAATCGTGCTAACAATGAAAATGATGATAATAATAATAACAACAGGAATAATAGGGCCTCTTATCCAACAGCATGCATGGAGTAATTTGATAAAATTGATATGGTAATCTTTTTTTTTTGAATTCTGATTTATTATCAATAAACATGATAATTACTATTACAGTAATCATATTCATTGCATAGCAGCAGTAAAATTATATGGGAAAAAATGATAATTTTGTTTTCAGTAACATCAAATTATGGCATAAAGTGATGAAAAATCACGAAATATTTTCGTGAAATAATATGATAAATTAAATAAATATTTTATCAACATTTTGAATCAAATTAATAAATTAAAGTGAAAAAAGTTACTCGCTTTCTTTTAAAAAATAAAATTGGCTACTCGAATTTATTCTTCCATTTCGGAAATTGCTTTAAAAAGTGAATTCCAAATATGAAATTAAATTTAAATTTTTTGCAGACTTTTGAAGGGGAAAAAAATTCCATAGACTAAGAAGGAATGTTTGAAATTGCTAATAATTTTGCACAAAATTATTGCCGCAAATGGAAAAATCTCCAATCTTTAATCAATTTTATTTTAAAAACTCCATTACTAATTCATATTCAATTCCACCGTTAACAATCATTTTTATTGCAATTTAGATTAAGTTTGAATAAATGATTTGTCGGTTATTTCCAAACAAAATTTCTGTTTTTGAACCAAAAAAAAAGGACAACAAATTAGTCCAGATGTTTCACAGTATTTTGCAATTATTTTAACTCACTGTTAAAATTTCAGACCTGAAACCATAACAGTAAATCATGCAATGATTAATTATAAAACTTTAGAAAAAACAAGAATTCAAT